TCTCTAATTAGTCTGGAAACGGGGGACCTAATTCTTGCATTCTGTGAAAACGGGTAAGATTGGCTATAATGTAATTATCTTAATCTTCACTATCGTTACTTTTTAAAAACCCAGCGAAGCGGGTCCTTGCAGCTAGATTCTAGATTACTTAGAAAAACAGTCTTTTATATATATATATATAAAACTATATTACATACAAATGTACGAACAAATAAAAACCCAGCGAAGCTAGTAATCATATAAAATGCAATAACAAAGATAAATATATGGAAAGTATTCATTTTTCATATTGCACTGTATATATTTTCTTCGTAGACTTCTTTTCCGTAAACAATAAAAAAATAATTTTATATGGAAAATGAAGCCATTTATTCCTAATTTACACTGGAATATGAATTATAACTTTGTCTGTAATAAAAATCTTTGTTACTTTTTATAAAAACTGTTCTTCCTTCTCTCTTTTCTTCAACTTTCTTATTAATTAATTAATTAATGTTTGCCAAACTTCCTTTACGTATTTTCCTATTTGTCATAGAAAATAATTAAATTGAATGAATGCGTAAGATATATTCCACTTTCTCTGAATTGTAGGCTATTGTAAATTGTTTCCTTCACTGAGTTAGTAATCTAAGTTCATTTAAAGTCTAAGTAAGTATAATTCTTTAGAATTTTGTTAAATAATTCGTATTTTATGCTAATAATTATTTTAATGTTTTATATTTTGTATATAAAGATATATGTTAATAAATGTAGTTCCTTATAAGATTATTCATTTCAGTTATTACTATTACTCTTAATACTATTTTAAACACTGTTTTTCTCATTTCAATTTATTATATATTAAACTACTCGTATAGCTCAGCTATGGTAAGCAGTTTACCCCAATTTTTGTAACTATTAATCATGTTAAATGATCTATACTGTTGTTTACATTATCACCTCGTTTGAAGTGTGCCTACACATATATATACTGTATATTAATATATTTACCGTAGTCTATAAGTAATCCTTCCATAAATATGCACAAGTTTTTAAACTATGCGATTCCTGTTCTAATGTAGTCATTTATTATGAAAATTTTTTCTATACAGAAATAACAGAAACAGAAATTCAAGGTGCAAGCATTTTTCTACAATATTTAAGTTTCGAGCTCCATTAATTTAATAATTTATTTTTCAATCGTATTCTTGCCTTATTAATGTAATCTATGCTGATGATCAATTGCTCGTAATACATTAAGCCAGTGTTTTTCAACTGGGATGGCGCGAAATAGAGCTGAGCAGCACCATAACACTTCTTAAATGTATTATTAAAAGTATGAAAAGCTCAATAACTCTACATTAATAATAATAAAAAAAATTAGGGGTGCTGCAAGAAAAAAATTACTATATTATACTATCTCTAATCCAGTCATTCTAGAGGCAAGGAAAGGCCGGATTAAAACTAAAGTCATTAAAACTAAAGTTTGCGTTTAAGCAGACTTTAATTTTAATGACTGACGTACTGCTCTTCGGTATTTTTTGAAGGGCAGCAGGTCACTCAAAGCGGGCAAATAATACGGCGCACTGATATGCAATACTGTACACAGAAATGAAACCCGAATAAATAGAACAAGATGTATAACATGTCTATATTTTCATGAAGTGCATAGACGATCACAAACTAAACAAAAGTCAATTAAAAGAGCTCCGTTTCAGATATACATGTGAACATAATCGTAAACTGAGTAGAGATTGGTTGAATACTTGAATTAGACAAGTTTTTACAATGGTTAGTTGATTTTTGGGATACCCCGTATATCCCGGATAATCTGGTTAGATTGCAAATTAGTATATGTTTATATATATAAAGGGATGTATTTAGGAAGGAAAGATAAAACGTTAATATTATAACGAGAACTGATTATGAAAAATAGTTTTAATTTTCTACTGTATCAGATAATTCGGTATTACTTTTTCGTTAATTTAAGAAAGCTTTTACCCTTCTACGTTTGTTCAAACGCATTGTTACATTTGCAATGGCATTCCTTTAATTCATTTTCTTAACTAGTGAATTGCGATCATTTCAATATTCTTAGATACATTATAGATTTTCTCATACAAAATAAGGTTGAAAAGCATTATAAGTAATTCAATAATTCTACTTTTTTAACTTTTCATTTATTAAATAAAGTAATATATCGTTAATTGAAACAGATAATTATAAAAATTCCTTGTTTTCAGCAAATGGGAAGGAAATGTCATTTCCTTAAGACTCTTCCTTTGCAATAATCTTAATTATATTTTAAAATATTTTTGGAAAATTATGATTATTTCTTGTATATTTTAATTGATAAAGTTCAATGACTTGGTATTTTTTAGTTAATTATAACTCAAAAAATGCATTTCAGACAAAATTTTTCAATTACTATACAATAAAGATTATCTATTGGAAGGATCAAACAGTAAAAAACTTCATTTAGGAATTTTAGAACATTAAAATTCAAAAATTTTTTGATATTTCATGATTGAATAAAGCTAAAATTAAGTAGAAATCCTAAAATTTGATGTTATTTAACTTAATGTAAGACTATTAAATTTTACTTGATTCAAGTATTATTTAAAATACTTGAATCAAGTAATTCTAAGATCATACTTAAATTCTATACCATAGAAATGCCATAGAAGCGCACTCGCAAAATACTTAATTGTTTAAAAATCTTTTCTTTAATATATATATTCAATTTGCTTGATATTTAAATTTTATAAAATTATTAATTTTTTAAATGCAATTATTTCAAAACATAAAATTCTTAAAATTTACTTTAAAAAGTTAATTAATTAATTAAATTTTTATAAGTTTTTATAAGTTATTTTGAAATTTCATTCAAAATAATTAAACAACTTTTTTT